TCCCCCCCCCCCCCCCAGTATTCCAGGGTGTGGGGACCACGCCTGTACACACGGGCCTTGACGATACTCGTCCTGACCATGCGAATCCTAACATGTAAGAAAGTCCTTACGTCCTTAGCATGTAAGAAAGATGACTGGAAGCATGGGCACATTTCCACTCAGGTGAGAGAGCTAGAATATGTTTTAGGAAAATCTTGGCAGAGAAGGTAGAAAGATAGTATTATGGGTGAGGAAATTTTAAAAAATTCATTGCTGAATGAAGAATCAGAATGGGGAGAGTAACTTTGTAGTACAGGCTGGCCTTGGACTAGCTATGTAGCCCAGGCTGGTTTCCAGCTTGTGGTCATCCCTCAGCCTTAGCCTCCCAAGTGCTGGGATTACAGGTGTGTGCTACCATATGAGGCTCCATTGGTACCATTTTCAAGAAAAAATATACTGTCTTCTACTTACGGATTTGATTCTTAACAGTCCTTTGGGAGAGATGCATATCTCTCCAAATACTATAGCTTTAATAGTATTTTCTATTCATCAGTGTGGAAGGCATTTATAGAATTCTATTAGATGCTTTTACATTTAGCATGCCATTGTATTGTAGATTAATCTTCGAATTGAAAGTAATGTTTGCTGACTCATTAAGCAAGGAATACCATTAGGAGTCATTTGCAGTGTTTTTAAATTGAGTATTGGTGTTGTGCCTAGTATCTTTAATTCCTGGGGTGGGGATGGGAACTGTTCTCAAAAGGTTAAGCATTTATTTGGCTTCTGATGATTTGCCTTGATTGGCTAACAAGACAGTCAGAAACTTTGGTTGCATCCTTATTTTCAGTTTTTACTTTTGCAAAGAAATTTAGCTACAGTGAGATACTTCATTTTAATTTTATAATTTTTCTGATCATTGCTTTCTTATAACTAAGGACACAATGTTTTTCCATCTCATTATGCAAATTAACCTGTGTCTTGAAAACATGACATTTCTAGTCCATTTTTTTCTTTTTTCTTCTAGCATGATTGGTATGCACTGATAATTAAAAGAACAGGATACTATAGCAGTTTTATGTGACATGAGTTATAACCGAGTCACTGATTTATGGTACACTGAGCAGCAGTGTGAAACAGTGATTGTGTCACAATCTGTTACATGTACTTGTAGCTCTCCTTGTGTAGTACAAAGGCATCATGGACAATAAATGAGTCTGAAACTGCTCTAATAAAATGGTATTTATAGATGCTGAAATTTGAATTTCAGATACTTGACACATTTCACAAAATACTTACCTTCATTAGATTTTTTTTCCTAAGCCACTTAAAAATTACTGGGCTGGGGATTTAGCTTGCTGATACCACTCCCTGCCTCATAAACACAAGGTCCTGAGTTTGATCCCAAGAACCAAAAGAAAAAAAAAAAAGTAAGATTATTTACCTTACGGGCTGTACACAAACAGGTTGTGGGTCAGATCTGCACTGCTGTAAATTGCCAACCTGTTTTACAGTATTATTGGACACTGCTGTGTGGAATAAAACTAAATTGAAATTTCCAACTTGAAAAATTAGAAAAGAATTGTAAACAACAGAATTATAGTAAACTAAAAGATAAGTGGGAAGAGTCAAATGTTTAAAGCCTGATAAAAGTACATTAGATGGAAGAAAAAAGGGAAATGAAAAAACTACTGACTTAAGTCAGCATACATTTTAGGATATATTTGAGTTTATCTGGTCAGTTGAAAATCTGGGTATAAGTTAAATAGTTTCTAGACAAAATTTGTCTAAATAGTTATCACACTGAATAGATATAAATGTAGCTGTACCTCTGCAAAGAAGAGGAGAAAAATGAACAATCATAAACATTTGCATATTAACTAATTCAGGGGTCACAACTACCCTATCAAATAGTGATATTTTCTCCATTTTACATATGGGGAAATGAATTATGAAGAAGCTGAGTAACTTGCCCAAGGTGGCATAGTTACGCTAGGGTTTGAACTAGATAATCTGGCTCCAGATGCCACTCTTAGTCACTGTGTTCTGAGGTCTCTTAAATGGTAAAGAAGCCTGCCGTTTCACTAAGTGAAATGTCCCAGGACTCTTAGAAAATGCGGGGTGGAGGCTTTGCGTCTGTTCTGCTCTCAGGTACACAGGTTTCCTTCATTCTTAAGTGTGAGCATAGTGAATGCTGAGTGCGATTCTCATTGAGAATGATCTTTTTTAAACCTGGAAGAAAAGTTGGCTCAGACTTCTTTATGGTATTTTTCAACAGTAATTTTACTGTATCAATTTTTGCCTTACACTGACTTTAGAACCTAGTCCTGCCACTAGATGTGATTTTACTGTAAATGTAACCAGAATTTTAAACTCATAAGTCCTTCTTCACCGGCATATGCTTGGCATATACTTTTAGATTTCTCAGTTTTAGGATTCTCTCATAGTTTAATTTTATATATAATGTGTACAAAGAAGGCCTGCTTGGCATACGTTACAATACCTCTAGCAGATGCCTAAAACCAGAGTACTGATCCTTCTGTAGTGTATTTTTTGCCTTTTTTTTTAATTGAATTTATTGGTACATTCTAGGTAGACAGCACAGTTACATTCATTACTAAGATCTTGTACCTTTACATGCCAGGTCTTGGTTCTCATTTTTCCCCCTTGTCCCCACCCTCCCTTCACCCCCTCCTCCCCTCCCCACCTTCAAACACTTTTAAGACCATTTTTACATTTTCTCATATTTTTTCCATTTCCCTTATTCCCCTTTCCCTATCCTTCTCACTGTCCCTACACCTTTGGTCCCTTTCTTCCTATTTCATGTTGCTAATTGCCCCGTTAGGATCTTGAGTAATATTTTAATTTTTAACACCAGAGAAAACTATTCAGTATTTGCATACGTGTGACTTACTTATTTCACTTAGGAGTATATCCTCAAAATGTACCCATTTACCTATGAATGAATCTACTTTCTCATTCTTTATGGCTGAGTAGTATTCCATTTATAGAAAAACCACATCTTCTTTATCCAGTTTCCAATTGATGGGCAGATGGGCTGTTTCCAAGTTTTAGCTATTACAAACTGTGCTGCTATGAACATGGGTGTGCATATATCACTGTGATATGATTCTTTCAATTCTTTTGGAAAGATACCCAACAGAGGGATGGCTGGGTCAAATGGAACCTCTAATCCTAGTTCTTTGAGGTATCTCCATATTGACTTCCATAGTGGTTGCACCAGTCTGCACTCCCACCAATAATGGAGAAGGGTTCCTTTCTCCCCACAACCGTGCCAACATTTGTTGTTGTGATTTCTTGATAGCATTTCTTTATTTTTTTTTTTTGAGACAGGGTCTCACTATGTAGTTGAGACTGACCTGGAGCTCACTATTTAGCCCAGGCTAGTCTCGAACTCACAGCAGTCCTGCCTCAGCCTCCCGAGTGCTGGGATTACAGGCGTGCGCCACCATGCCCAGCTGTAGCGTATTTTTTGTTATACATACTTACATACACACACACAAATTTAGTGCCTTTTCTTTCTATCGTAACTAAGCACTTTCATGAGTAGTGGCTGTAACTGCAGTTTGTGAGACAACAGCAAAAATAGTATGAACTTTTTCTTCACAGTTTTAAAGGCACAAGTTTTTTTCCTGCTTACTGTAAATCTTAGCAGTCTCATCATGAGTTTTTTTTTTCTTAAGTCATAAACCTTTATCTCTTCACTTAGGAGAGCACATGGGGTCTCTGAATTGCCAGCAACACAGCTGCTTTGGAGTATTATTGAATATAATAAGGGTTACTGGAATCTGGGCCTGGTGGCGCTCTCCTGTAATCCCAGTACTTGGGAATCTGAGGCAGGAGGATCACTGAGTTCGAGACCAGCCTGGGCTACATAGTCAGTTCCAGGTCAATCTCAACTACATAGTGAAAACCTGTCTCAAAAAAAAGTGGGGGTGGTTTACTGGAAGACCAGCCCTGCTTGTGACAGATGGGTGGGCAGAATATACACTGTTGGTATCATGGACAATAGGCACAGAACAGGAGGCCTGAAAGTCATATTGCTCACGACAATGTGCAGTTTAAAATTCATGTATTGTTATTTCTGGCATCTTTAATATTTTGGGACCACAGTTGATTGTGGGTAATTGAAGCCACATGAGGTGAATCTATTGCTAGACTATACTCATCTACAGTTGCTAAAATTTAAGTGCAGTGTATATTGTATTTTAAGCTTTAACTTTTATGTATTCCTTAATATGTCTTTTTTCCCCCCCAAAAAAAAACTTTCAGCTAGTATGTTCAACACACCAGGAATGCAGAGCTTGTTGCAACAAATAACTGAAAATCCACAACTTATGCAGAACATGTTATCTGCCCCCTACATGAGAAGCATGATGCAGTCCCTGAGCCAGAATCCTGACCTTGCTGCACAGGTGAGTTTGGAATTGAATTAGAAAGGACTGCAGAGTAAATTGAAGTAATAGCCTACTCATTGATGGATCTGGCACACTTGTGTTGTGTGTTCCTATATAGAAATGTAGGTAAATTACTTCTCCATTGTTTCAGACAGTTCGTTTCTTTGTAGTGGTAATATGTCACATATAATCATTTCTGCCATTTATTGACTAGAATGTAGTACAGATTTATGTTACATATATACATCCTGAGGAGATGAATAGAAAAGTTTCAGGGCCGGGGATTTAGCTCAGTGGTGGCCCAAGTTCGATCCCTGGTACCCCCCAAAAAAAACCATAAGAAAGAATGTTTCAGATTGCTCCTTGAAGATATACTTTTCTGTAAAATGTGAATCCTAAAAGTGACCAAGAAGAGTATTATTAATTCATTTTAAATGCTCTTATGTAATTAGATTTCTCACACTGTAATATTATGTTAAACATTGCAGGTATCAATCAGCCTGAAATTGTTCATTAAAAGCAAAGGTCAAGTTGTGGGAACTGTCATTCTTTTCAGTGTGGCCCCTCCCACACACACTCTAGTTAGTATATTGTTCTTTTATTAATTTATTAACTTTATTTTTTTCTGGAAAGACCATAAGTAAGAGAATTAAAGGCTCTCACCACTGGCTGAATCATTTAAGATCACTTGGGAAGCTTTGAAAATGGTATCTGCTTGAGTTTCAACCCCATCCTTACAGGGTTTTGATATAATTATATTAGGTACTTTATTTAGGTGCCTCAAGTTCCTTTGGTGATTCTGCACCAGTGGGCTTGAAAACCAGGGGTAATGTGAAATAAGCCCTGGTCATCTATGGTTTATATTTGCTGTTTATTAAAAATAGCTTTCTGGTCTGATGTTTTTGCACATGCCTCTAATCTCAGTTCTTAAATCAGACATGGGAGGAGTGCAAGTTTGAGGCCACCCTGCGAACTTGTGGAGATACTGCCTCAAAGTTAGGTAGGTAGGTAGATGGGGCTGAGAATGTATGTAGTTCAGTGGTGCAATGCATGCCCAACACACATGTGGGGTGGCCCTTTATACTTAATCTCATTTTAGAAACCTTTTCTTCATTGTCAGATGAAATGGTTTTTATTGTCTAAACTGTTAAACCACAATGGTAGAAGTATATTGCAGATGTCTTTGAGGTGTAATCTTTATTAGTAATTTGTGAAAGTGGGCTAGGTGCAGTGGTACATGCCAGTAATTCCATCACAGTGGGAGGTTGAAGCAGGAGGGTCTGACTACATTCAGGCCTAGCTCTGGCAAGTTGAGACTGTGACTCTGTCTTAAAATGTAGCTTGTTGTGGAGGCCCTAGGTTGGGGGTGGGAGTGGAGCGGGATGTAAATATACAACAAGTTCTTAGGTAATTTTTTTTTTTTTTTTTGGCACGGGGGATCGAACTCAGGTCCTTATGCTTGCAAGGTAGGTGGCGGAACCACTGAGCTAAATCCCTGGCCCCAGGCAAATTTTTAAATTTAAAATTTGGCAGGTTGAAGGTACAAGGTGCATTTATGAAAAATTATTTAGTAATACGAAAATTACCATTACTACTATTAAATGCCCAAATTTAATGTATTCAAAGATATTTTTAATAGTGAATAGAGCTAAAATGTTCACATTTCTTTAAAATGTGGATATGATGTATGTAGGATGTTCCTGGTTTGTATGTCTTCAGATGTATATTTGGCGAACTAATACTTAGATGTAATCTTGCTTATGTAGTGTGACCTACTTGGGCACATTTCAGCTTTGTACTATATATGATAGTTCTCTGTTTATAAAGGGCTTGAGCACTTCCCCATGCTTTTCTCTAATATAAAATTGACAAAGAATGCTTGATATGGATTCTTGTATTATATATGCTTGGAAATTTTCACAATGTACTTTAGTTACCAGAATATGAAAGTTTATTCACACCAGAGAAAGTATTCGGTATTACACATGTGTGACTTACTTATTTCACTTAGGAGTATATCCTCAATACATAAGATCCTAATAAGATTACTGACATTGTGAAATGGGAATAAAGGGGCTAAAGGTGTAGGGAATGTGGGATGGGTAGGGGAAGGGTAATAAGGGGAAAGAAAAAAATGTGAGATAATGAAAAGATGGAAATAAAGTGATTGTAGATGGGGAGGGGAGGAGGGGGTGAAGGGAGGGCAGGGACAAGGGGAAAAAATGAGAACCAAGACCTGTGATGTAGAGGTACAAGATCCCAGTAATGAATGTAACTGTACTGTGTACCTAAAATGTACCAATAAACTCAAGCTGAAAAAAAATATGAAAGTTTAAAGTTTTTCTATTCTGCTTTTGATTTTTATATATTCAAGTGTTGTCTGAGGTTTTTACACTAATTGTGACACGAAGTCAGGTAAGTTAGAAATATCCTTATCAAATGTAGTATCTTTTTTTTTTGAGAAGAAAAGTTTAAGATGACATGTTTTTTCTTGGTTAGTTTAAATAACATCTTGAAAAGTAAATGTGACACTTCATTAGTATATTTGTAAAAAGAAATCCTATACTTGACTAAAGCAGCAGGTTGGTTGTACTCATGTAGGCATTACTTAGCCATCAATACCGTGTATCAGTAAAAACATTGTCTAACTTCTTGCTTTGATTATTGGGTTTAAAGTAACTAACCGATCAGCCTTGCAGCAACAGATGAACTAAAGGAGTGGGTGGGATTTCTCTCTTCCAGCATATATATGTAATTGCTCTTAAATATGGTTAACTACTGGAGGGCAAGGATCATTTCTACCCCAGACTTTGGACAGGTAAATAGGCTATTAGTAAATCATTGTTAGTTGACTTTTTTCACTTTGGGGGAATGCTATGCAAGTTTTTTTGAAAGTATGAGAATTTGTTAGTTTCTGGTTTTGCTGATTGTGTATTATAATCTTATTTTCAGATATTCCAACATTATGTTAACGTTGGTCCTGACTTTTAAATTCTTAACACCTGTTTGAAGGTTAGGCAGTATGCCACTTCTCTCATCTCTGGTGGTAGTAAGGTGAAATCCAGATGCTAATCTTGGTGTTCTCTAATGGATTTACATCTTCCAGGTCTTAAAACATTTTAACTTTTCCCAGAGGATAGTTGGTGCTACGTTTTGGCTGATTTTTCACCTAGCAACTCCATTTCTCTAGCAAGTTGGTTGCTGTTTTGTGGTATTTTTCTGGACCTAATATTAGCTGTCTTGCAGTAGGCAGGTAGATACAGTGATTCCAGATCTGGATTTTCTCTGTGCTTGCCACTTGGGTGTGGAGGTTTCTAAGCAAGCCATGTACTTAGTTTCATGTTTTGATGTTTATCCTGTCAGTGTAGCAGAAAATGTTTTTGCATGAGAGCCAGTTAACTCCCATTTTTCTTTCAAAGGCAAAAATTCACCCTTGCTCAAGGAAAAGCCTAAGAAAAAATGATTGTTTTTCCTTTTTAGGATATTGCATGCCATTATCATAATCACCATTTTCACTGAGAGAGAAGATGCCTTGTTTTTTGTTTTTTACCCCCCCCCCGAAATCTCTCTTTTGGATAGTATTTCCCCTTTTTTATTTATGTTCTACCTTCCTTCCTTTTAAATGCCAGCTTGGGCACTTGGGGGAAGATAGAATATTAAACAAGGTACATTACTTGTTTCAGATATTTCCAGTTAAAATTGTTTGAACACTTGCCCCATAGATGATGCTGAATAATCCCCTATTTGCTGGAAATCCTCAGCTTCAAGAACAAATGAGACAACAGCTCCCAACTTTCCTCCAACAAGTGAGTAAGAAAAGATGCTAGCTATCTTCGGTAATGATTTGCTTGAAATAGTTTGATGAACATTTTCCTTCTCTTCTCTGGCTGATAGCAAAACAGAATAGATTGATACTGCTCCCAGGTTGTAGGAATTCAGCTTGATCTTGTCTAAGCCCCATTTCACTGCTGATCTTTATATTTCTTAAATTCTGAGGAAAGAACAATTTTTATTTTTGCTTTTGAGGATTTGGGATTTTGAATGCTTTGTTAATACCATAGACCATTTCCTTTCATTTTACTAACTTAGAAGTACTTTCTTGTGTCATGTTACACTTTATGGTTTTAATCTTGAGTAACGGGAAAGAGCTACCCTATTTTATTTTACAGATTTGGTTTCTTTCTAAATGTTACTTTCTAATATTAAAATGTAATTTGATGTACTGTCTGGTCAGGGCTGGCCTCTAGTATTTGTGCTTTTCCTAGATTTACCCCAGGTGTGGGGGCCTTAGGAAACCCTGGAGGCTCTTCCAAATTAGTAGAGTGTATTTTCTAAGGGATAGAGTTCATTTCCTCACATTTGGAATTAGTAAGATTAAAATTGTTGGTATTGTCGTATATGAAAGTTAAAAGTATAAAGTATAAAAATATACTTGATTTCTATGGTATTTTATTATTTACAAAGATAAAAGAGAAGTCAGTCGTGTTGGTTTTGAAAGTGATAGTGCTGAGGCTTTGTATATAATGCAAATGACTCTCAGGCATGTATACAGTTATCCAAGGTTAGTTGGTGTCCTTGATCTCACTTTAAATGATGTAAGCCACCTTTTTGGTCAGTCATGGTGTATACTTGGAAGTAGTGAAGCTAAACTGAGGATACATGTAATAACTTCAAGTGTGGACCTATTGTTTTAGTGTGCATTTTTGTTAAAATTGTTAACTTCAGCAATAGATAACACTTAGGAGGAACATGCAGCTTTTGCCATATCACCATGTTGTACAAATTGTGCATTTGGAGTTTGTCTCTTAGAAATAATACTTTCTTCTTCTGTTGGAGAAGGGGAAGAGTTGTGGCATCCAGAGTAGCTCCTGATTGCTCTCTGTTATGAAACTGGCTTTCATAATGGGCTCGGGAGGAGGTCGAGCTGAGCAATGATTTACCCAGGTTTGGTGTGAAAGAGGAGGACTTCTGTTTATTTTGGGAAATAAATTATGGAGTACCAGTGTCTGGGAGTAAGATTTTAGGTTTTCTCCAAAAACATAGCAAAGAAAAGTTGTAAAAATTTACCTTCAGTTGTTTTAATTCCTTTGTAACCTTTGGTTTTCTTTCTTCCTTAGATGCAGAATCCTGATACACTGTCAGCAATGTCAAACCCTAGAGCAATGCAGGCCTTGTTACAGATCCAGCAGGGTTTACAGACTTTAGCAACAGAAGCCCCTGGCCTTATCCCAGGGTAAGTTTATTTGGGGAAGATTATGAAAGTTCATAATGGTAACTTCTTTGAAGATTCAGATTTAATCTGCTTTATAATTTTTTTTGGTTGAAATTAGTTTTAGAGTTTTCAAAGTCACAAATGCTTATTGTAAGGATTGCTAGGATATTAAGCTGTAATTTGATGTACTGTCTGGTCAGGGCTGGCCTCTAGTATTTGTGCTTTTCCTAGATTTACTCCAGGTCTGGGGGCCTTAGGAAACACTGGAGGCTCTTCAGGAACCAATGGGTCTAACGCTGCACCTAGTGAAAACCCAAGCTCTACAGCAGGCACCACTGAACCTGGACACCAGCAGTTCATTCAGCAAATGCTGCAGGCTCTTGCTGGAGTAAACCCTCAGGTGACAATTCTTTTTTCTGTTACCTTCACAATAGAATATTCCAAAAGGAAACAAGAAATATCAGCCTTTTGGTGTTTAGGCTCATGACGAGTATGATTTTTAAGATATTAACTCTAAAAACGAGCATTACAGAAATTGTTAAATGTTGATACTTTGTTGGGTACTAAAGGAAACCTTGTCATCAAGGTAATTTTATTTTTTCAGAAGGAGCCTTTTAGAACTGTATTCCTCTTAAACTCCCTATGTGAAAATCATTGAAATCAATTTTGCTATGTAAAAGTTTGTTTGGGAGGGATAGAAACTTGAATATTCTCAATACCTCTAGGATAGTTTTACCCCTACTAGCCACCATCATTAACTACCTCTTAGGGTAACTTGTGTTATATTTCTACACCTTAAAAATGCAGATCCCTAATACTATTTTTGCAGCTGTAAATGTTACTGACTTTACTAAGAAAGCACCATCAGACAAAGATGATTATCATTTCAGACCCAAGGTTGCTCCCAAACTTCTTCATGGAAAAGATATTTTAAGATATACTAGATGCTGATTTTTTTCGGGGGGCGGTCCTGGGGATAGAACTCAGAACCTTATGCTTGTGAGGCAGGTGGTGGAACCACTGAGCCAAATCCCTGTTCCTAGATGCTTAATTCTATCTGACTCTCAAAATTAGTATATGTTTCTGATACACAGTAATTACCTCCATTTTGTGGAATTGGGATGGATATATATATATATATATACATTTGATCATTTTTGATCTGCTGTCCCCCTTTTTTTTCCCTTTGTACTGGGGACTGAACTCAGGACCTTGCACTTGCGAGGCAGGCAGCAGCACCGCTGAGCTAAATCCCTGGTCCCCGCTCCTTGTTTTCCCTTCTCTTCTTTCTTTCCTTCCACATTCCCTTTTCCATCTCCAAAGTCTTCTTTCCTGCCACTTCTCCTTTATTTTATTCTTTGATTTACTTATATTTTGGGTTTTTCATATTAGAGAAACCATGCAATATTTATCCTTCTGTGTCTGACTTATTTCACTAAATGTTACGGTCTTGTGAGGCATCCATTTTTCTACAAGTGATGTGAATTCGTTCTTTATGGCTGAGTAAAATTACATTGTATACAAGAGATGATCAAAAAGTGTGAATGTTTAAAACAATTATAGTAAAAGGCATGTTGCCGGAATTCCCCTTGAAATCCTCCCTCACTTTGAACACACTGATCCCGTCCTTCTTGCCACTTTCCGAAGCAGTTCTGGAAGTTCTCTTTTGTGAGTGTCTTCAGGGGATGTGATTGCTAGTGCCGTGCCATTCAATGGGAAGACAGGCTTGTTAAGCGTCAAGCGTCCGTTTTACTCACTGGATCTGGCACTGTGACTTCTGGCTCTTCCCGAAATCAAAATGATTGTGAAAGGTGAATGTTTTGTGTTCATTCAGGACTTTAAGGTAACCAAGACAGTGCAGCTAAAGGCACTCATACAAGATGATTTGCAGAACTGCCTCATAAAAATGCTAAGAACCGTGGAACAGAGAGTTTTCAAAGCAAGGAGTTTTTTGAGAGAGACTAAGAGTTGGGTATTAGAATTGATGTAAGTTGAATGACCTCTAAATCTGTTACCAAGTTGGCCAGGATTGTTTCTTAATTTCTGAAGAAAAATTTGATGTGGCTGAATTATGCATAAGTAGCAGTATAGTTTGTGAGCCTGAAACTAGAATCAAATGGTTAGTACAGATGCTAAATCCACATTGTAAGCCTCACTGGGGATTTAGATTTTTACACATAAGGACATTGGTTTCTTAAAAAGTTACTCACCGGGCGAGTACTTACACAAAATGAATCATCTAATTAGTTCTGAACTGTTTGCTTATATGGTTGAACCCAAGGCCTTGTGCATGCTGAATATATACCCTGCCACTGACCTGCATGCCTAGGTTTTTACAAGACAGAATTACATGATGTTCAGGTGTAAACTAGACTAAAATTACTTGTTCATTTTTGCATACTAGGGATAGAACCTAGGGCCTTGTACATGCTGGTCAAGATCTCTACCCCTGACCTATATCCCTAGTCTAATATTAATGGAATTTAAACATGTGGGATGTTTGCAAAGAGAAATCTTACTTTTAAAGCTCAGTGTATCAGCATTTTAAGAAACAGTTAAATTTTCTAAAAATTTAGGCATGACATGGACTACCTTACCATCTCTCTCTCTCTCTCTCTCTCTCTCTCTACATACATATATAAACAGCTACAGAATCCAGAAGTCAGATTTCAGCAACAACTGGAACAGCTCAGTGCAATGGGATTTTTGAACCGAGAAGCAAACTTGCAAGCGCTGATAGCAACAGGCGGTGACATCAATGCAGCCATTGAAAGGTTACTGGGCTCTCAGCCATCATAGCAGCATTTCTGTATCTTGAAAAAATGTAATTTATTTTTGATAACGGCTCTTAAATCTTTAAAATACCTGCTTTATTTCATTTTGACTCTTGGAATTCTGTGCTGTTATAAACAAGCCCAATATGATGCATTTTAAGGTGGAGTGCAGTAAGTTCGTGGGTTATTCTGTGCTTTTCTTTTTTGGAACAGTGGGAATCACTGCTTTTCATTTAAGTCTACTGCATGCATCAAACACTTCTGCATTCATTGTAATTTTTTAAAAGCATCACCTCTTATAGTTGGGTGAACAGATTTGTCTTGCATCTGTCCAGTTTATTTGCTTTTTAAACATTAGCCTATGGTAGTAATTTATGTAGAATAAAAACATTAAAAAAAGAAGTAAATCATTTGGGCTCTATAATTTGTGGTATAATATTGCTTATTGTGACTGGCATGTATTTTTGCAACAAATGCTGTAAGATTTATACTATGGACAACTTTTGCTTTATTTGTATACAGTACAAAGTGCATATTTGGGACCACATTTTTAGAAACGTGTTAATGTGTTAGGTTATGTGCACAGAGCACTTGTAACCAATGAAGTAAGGCCAGGAAATACTCCTAAAGCTTAGTGTTTCCTACCTGTGTGGAATCTTACAGCGTCTTTGATAACAGCACCCAGCAAAGAGTGCCAGATGAATACGGTAGAGAAGCTGATTTGGTTGTCTGTTTAGGGCCATATAATTGTATAGACAGCATAATGTAACATTGTCTCAGCATTCACAGATGGACTGTAAATTACCTTAATCCTTGTTCAGATGGAAGGAGCTTCGTAGCTTGTAACCTAAACTGCCTTTTCCTAGGATTTTTCAGCTTTTCCCATATGTAGTTTAAGAGGCATTACGATTAGCAATTGAAATGTTTTCACTGAAATTGTTAATGTTTCAGTTACTTTTAATCACCATATAAAAAATAGGATTATCTTTTGGTTTTATCAGTTTTCTCATGCACAGGCAGTATGTGAATTTAAAATGATTTGTGAGGCACATGTTTCTGAAGTGTTTGGATAGTTCTATTAAAAAATAGTTAAATGTTGTGCTTTTCAGAGCCTCAGAGGGGGGGAAATGGGGGAGGGGGGCAAGACCAAATTGATCCTGGATTAGGCCAGCCTAAACTAAATAATACTGGCAGCCAAGACTCTGTTAGAATTTCTGTGCATTTAGTATAGTAATGAAGTGTCATTTGGGGTGAAAAACAAAGAGCCGTTTTAACAATGTTGAGTACATTTGGCTATTTTACAGCCTTTTTCTTCCCTCCCCAAAGAAGTTCTGTTTGCCTAACTCTCAAATTCTTGGGGTGGTACATTCCTTTAGGACCAATTAAAACATAGCATTGGGGTCAGTAATACATTTGGCTGACTGGTACAGTATTCTCTTAGGTCATATTCTCTCATGTACAGTTACAGGAATTATAATGTTAAAGTAACCTAAATGGTTCAGACCAATAAAATTAAGGAAAATACAGGTTGAATTTCATTAATTCTATAAGTTGCTTGCTATTAATAAAGGTCTAGAGGACAGACTGCCCACCAGTCCACGCACTGTTGTGATATCTTCCCCAGGAGGCAGACATGCTCCAGAGCTCACGGAGGAGGCATGGCTGGATGTTGTTGAGGGTGTGTTCTGTGGCTTGGTGCTTTCTGCCTTATGCCTTGGCTGGTTTAAAGACTTTTGTACTAATGAGTGGCAGTATACAGTGTGGGACAGTGTCATAACCAGTTTGATGATTTATTAATCACAAAGTAACAATAAATCTCTAGCTTTTACACTTGCTTTGTCTTGTCTCTTTTGTAGAAAGAAAAAGAAGACTTCAGTTTACTTTATCTTTTAAAGATCATTAAAGTTGATTTATCCTAGATTTGATCACAACTTAGGTTATTTGTTAGTGATTTTTTTTTTTTTGAGCTTCCCCAATTAAAGTGTTGGATATGCAACATACTCTTTTTTGGTATGTTATAAAGATAGCCCACTGAGAAATGATGTGACCCTGGTTCTTCTGCTTTGTTTTTTCCTAGTTATGTGACTCTAAGCAAGGCATCGTGACAGTATACTAGACTGGGCAGTCTCTACTATGAACTGCTGCAATGGCATTTAAAAAAATTTTTTTGTTGTTTCTAATGTGTTTATCTTATATCTAAACATTTGTTAAGGGTGTTCAAAATTCAGTTGATTCCCTACTTAGTTTCTTGGCTTTCTGGTATGAAAGCTATACACATTCAGTAGAAACCCTACTTCACATTCAATTCAAATTTTGAATTGTGAGATTTTTCCCAAATTAGAAATATGTGGTACGATATCCTTGAGATGTTAGGGAGGTGGCAGTAATGAATGAGGGTAAAAGTCTAATTCTCTTAAGTATCCTGTGTTGCTAAGCTATGCTGTTCAGTAGGTTAAGTGTATTAAATACATTTTTGACTTAATATTTTCAGGGTATGGTAGGCATATCTGGAAGGGATCCAATACTAAGGTGAGCATCTAAACTTGAAATTCTAAAAAGATACTTAAACTGCTTGAATTGTTCTCTTGAACAATTAAATTATTTAGTAAAAGTTGAAAAAAGTGCAGAAGTAAAAATAGCACTTAAGGATTTTATTTCCCAAGCAGAATGTTTCTGGTATCTTAAACGATAGAAAATACTATACAATCAGATAAATGTCAACTTGCCTTGGTATATTCAGAATCTTGGATTTCAAGCTTGATTTAAGTCTGTAATGAAAGAGTCTGGATTGGAAGAGACATTATTGTATTAATTTGAGAGGCAAGTCATGACAAAATCCAATAGAATGAAAAAAAGATTTACATGTTAGTAGCAAGTAAAGCTAGGCTCTGTGTGTGCACCTATATTTATATGAACTTATTTAACAAAAACGTGGTAAAGGTGGAAAAATACTATATATTGTACTTCCCTTCAAAGGCTAATAAATAAGATATAAGTTAAAGATCCTGCCTTGAAGAAGTTTGTTGTTTAATCTGTTTTTTTCTACTCTTACTGGACCACTGCTTTTTTTGATTGATTGTCAAAGGCAATGCCATATCCAGTGGACAAACTGCAGAAAAAGCTATACTTAGCATATCTCCCCTCTGCTGTTGCACATAAGTACTCAGCTCTTTTCTTTGGCTTATATAATGTCTACCATTCTTTCTGGGTTCAGTTTTAAAGTCTTTATAAAATTTGCTTATTCATGATTGATTTATGAATTACTTAGGCTTTACCATCAGTTGCCATGTTCTCATTTACCTTACACTTTATTTTCTTTCATTTTTCTGCTTTGAAATTGTCTTATAGTTAAGTAACATTAAATTCTCAATTTCTTGTCTTCTTTCATAGGCATCCACTGCCTCAGAAAGTTAACATTTATTGAACTGTTGAACACTAAGTCACTCAAAGTATAACAAAGGGTCTGTCGACATGAGGCTTGCATAATAGAATGTAGGAGGACAAATACATATATTGCCTCTCACGTAATTTTAAGTAGTGGGTGAAACATCAGCAGTGTAAAGAGGCTAGGTCAGGAAGAAAGTATTCTTATTTAAGGTAGTCAGAGGGCCTCCTTGAGGAGATGATGTTTGCACAGAGATTTGAAGTATATTTTGGGGGATGGTGTGTGCACAGTTCGCCAAAGAAGAGGGCTAACAAACGAAAAGGCCCTGAGGTGTTACTGTCCCAAGTGTGCTTGGAACACAAGGAGTCCTTTGAGACTGGGTAAGGTGAGCTATGAAGAGAAAACAGTGTAGAGAATAAGATGGGAGATATGCGGGGAGTGGCTCAGGTTTCTGACAGGGAGGACTTGTTAATACGTGAAATTTTGTGTCCCCTTTTTAGAGTGTATAATTTTCAGTGTGGAATTGGGGAGGAAAATTTACATTTCTGACAAATTCTAAGTGAGAGCCATTGGGCTAGGGAAGCCTGATGGAAACAGGGAGCCTTGTAGGAGGAAGGTAGTGATCTAGACAAAGATCGTAGGTGCTCAGACTGCACTGGTAGTGGAGGTGCTAAAAAGTAGTCAGATTTGGAGTATGTTTTAAAGATAGTGTCCATAGAACTATGAGGGTAAACGCAAGAGGGGCATGAAGCAAGGTGGAAAGAACAAATCCGAAGTTTGGTTTTGACATTGTAAGTTAGGTGTACTTGACTGAACATGCAGGTGAAGCTACTGAGAAAGCAGTGGAGAAATGCAGCACAGATGAACCACGAGTTGTAAAGTGGGAGGTCCTGAAAGCGAAGAAGCGTAGTCAAGGAGCCAGGTGTAATGGACTGTGCTAAGTGCTGCGGCACCAGGGACAAATGCCATGGGTCAAATGTTAACCTTGCTAATTAGTGAAGGGAACAGGACTACAGGTTCAGAGTGGTGCTGCAACTTCATGAACAGAATAGGCTGAGAACACGAAGCACAGAAAAATGGCAGAGGTTGTAGAGAGAGGAGTGTGGTGGTGCTGTAGAAGTTTGCCCTTTGTTTTTTGCTCCAGATAGGAAAGTGTTTGTATTTTAATTGGGGGGGGCTTGATGGAGTTATTGTTTCCTACCAAAAGGTACAAAGAGAAAGGAGTTACTGTACTACAAGCTTTTGATTCCTAGAATAGTTTAAAAGAACATCCAAAACTGGTACCTTTGTTGCACAGGTTAATGTGAGAGTTGAGTCTTTCCTTTTCCTCACATGGGTCTGCAAAGCACATCATCCGTCCAGTCTAGCTGAACAACTCATGGTGCCCAGCCCTTGAAGCAGAGGAAAAGCAGCTCCTTCTCAACATTTGTGTTTGGATACAATTGAGTAGAATTAAATTGAAATTTTGTCTAGAGTTAGGTTAGCGAAGAAGCATTCCTTGTTTGTAATGTATGTATTTTCTTTTTAGGTTTTTCAAACATGTACTTGATTCCTTATATTTCCCAAAGATGACAGAATTTCCATTGTTGAGGTTTTCAAATGTTTTGTGCAAACTAGCCCACAGCTTTGTCTTAGAAATAAGCCATCTATTTGATTATAAATGAGCAGTTTTAGCAGAAATTGGTGAGTACAGCTAGAGTGTGACTTGCCTGGGTCTGGAGAATTTACTTTCAGGAAAAAGTGTATTCAGGAACTTTGTTCCTTTGTGCCACAGAGAAGATGGGTTTAGTAGATATTTGAAAATGAAAGCCACCAGCCTTCTAAATTCTAGGCCAGTGGTAGTGAACCTACGACATGCATGTTATCTGTTTTTCTTTTAAGACAAAAGATGTTAATGTGTGAGTTTTTTTCTAAACCACAACCTCAGTATTCAGGTTTAATTGCAGAGTTGGCACTTTGAGATAAAAATGGGCTGCAGTTTGGGCACTTGTCGACATCTCAGGTTTTTTACAGTCACTATTGTAGTCCCCAAACAGGCCCCTTGTCCTTACCCATACATATTCAAATAGTCAAGAAATCCTACTAGATTGCCCAGATTTAAGAGAAAGTCAGAGATCCTGCTGCTGGATGAAAAGAATGTGAGTTTGTGGCCATTTTAATGTACCACACACTGTAATCCCAGAAGCCGGAAATGATGAGAGGAACACTTTTTTCCCTTCTTCACTCACTGTTGGTACCCTTCTAAGTAGTAAGTCTTGTAACCCTTACCAGAGTTAAGTCTGGCCACTTGTTGCTCGAAAGCCAATCTCAGAAATGAGATTTGGTAGGAAATCGGTTTTTTTGATGGATGGGAGTCCTGAGAAGATAGAGGGAAGGTTGTCTTTAGAACTCCATATACAGGAACTCAAGGATGCAGAGGGGTTTTACAAGGAGGGAAAGGGTCAGCAGGGGGTCCTTCAGGAAAGCTACATGCTAAGTGGGGTCTTCATCATCCTTCTGTGGAGAGAACATTACAAAGGACCTTGATCTCCTCGGTCTAGATGTTTTAGTTCTAATACTTTCGTGGAGTTAAACCTCACAGCAGTTTACGTGCTTTGTGTCGAAACACGCTAAGAGGGGAGTTACACCTTCTGATGTTATCTGAAGGGTACCAGATGTTTTGGGTTCTGAAAATCTAATACTTAGTTAACATGTGTATCATTTAGGTGTGGCTTCTCCTTAGAACCTGGACACTTACTCTTGAAAAAGTTTTATGGAGGGTTTATAGTAGTAACCTTGTGAAGGGCATGAGAGAGGATATGACCTTGGAAAGGATTACTTGCCAAGAGAGGCCACTGTTACAGCTCAGCTGCTTGTTTGATATTGTAGAAGGAGGTACACCTAACCCTTGAGTCCTCTTTCTTAGGGAAACTGCACACTGCAAACTGATTCTAGTCTACTTCTTGCCGCATGCTGGCTCAAGTCCTATGGGGAAGGCCTGTAGTTATCTTGTTCCTTCTTTAAAAATTGTGGTAAAATAGTCATAAAAATGTAAGAGGTATGGTTCAGTGGCATTAAGTACATTCATGGTGTTGTACATCCAGTATGTTTACCTAGCAGGTTTTGACCAGCCCAAAAGGAAACTGTGTAGCTGTGAAGTGGTCAGTCCCTATCAGGTCCCCCCTTCCCCCGAAGCCTCTGGCAGCTGGCAGTCTACTGTTGTCTCTGGGTTTACCTATTCTGAATCTTTCATATAAATGGAATCACAATAGTGCGTTCTTTGGCAGCTTTGTATTTTCAAAGTCCATGTTGTACTATGAACTTCATTTTCACTGTATGGCTGAATAATATTCCTTTGCATATACCACATTTTACCTGTTGATGGACATTTCTACTGCTTGTCTACTGTAAATATATGCAACAAACAAGTTTGAGTTTCTGTTCTCAGTTCTTTGGGGCATACATC